TTTCCACCGACATAGCCGAGAGAAAACAGTATGCATGTCACGTGTTCTAAGCATGGAAGATGCAGATAAATAAAGAGCACTTGAGCTGACTGCAGCCCTATGGACGAATAAAGATAAGTAGAAACAGCGCACCCAAGTAATACGCCGTAGTCAGAGTAACTGACCCTCAATTATTCACATATTCAAAAACTGTAGAGCTGAGCATTCATTCTTATGAAGGGTCGTGTCCAGTCCCTGGAATGCGATATGTAAACTTGGCTCCGCCCTCGGAGCGACTGCGGCCACTCTATTGTAGTCATCCTAGCCAACGCATCGACCCACTAGATCGCAAGCTGATGCGCGTGCACTCCACTCTTCTGAGTAGAGGAGTGCAGTTGTACGGAACTGACAAAGTTGTTTGCGTGGCGTAATACCAGCAGCCAGCACACTCCACCATCCAGTGTCAAATCTTCATCCTTGATGGCGAAAAGTGCTGCAGGCCGTGTCTCATGAAGCGTCGTCTTGCAATTCGCACATGGCATCAGCTAAAGTTGGTATGTATTCCTACGGCCATGACAAAGATCAGGCAAACAAATCGTAACTTGGCGATGCTTCACAACTCTTTGAGCAAACTGAGTGCCTGAGTGCCTCTTCGCAGGCTTACCTCTCCATCTTCTTCTGCTGACTGGTACCGAGAAACGTCAGCCTCTTGTTCAGCGATGTCATCATCCACTTCCAGTTTCAGAGCAACACAGAGCTCCTGCATGGTACAAATACTATATAAAACAGTTCTGACGAAACCAAGTGTGTTCCAACAGCGCTGTCGCTTATGCGGAGGGAGTAATTTTCTCCAAAGTCGCACAACTGCATTGAGACGCCCCCACAGAGTTCAGCCCGTCTGTATGTCACTCCATGACGGAAACTATAGGAGGAACGAAAAAACAAATCTTAACCACGTACTTGAATACCCGCAATCCTACTCACGCCTGAAAGGGGATCGGTGTGCCTCACGAACGGACGTGCCACAGCGTGAACCTTACACGGAGCTCATTCAGTTTCCTCCAACTCTTCAGGTCCCGAAAACGTAAGTCGACGGCGCATGCAAGGTGATGACGAAAGGCACATTCAGCGGGTTGCTGGGAAATTAATCGCAGAACTAACAAGATATCTTTCCCTTCCATGAACTTCAGGCGAGGGGCGAGCTCGCTGCACGGCAAAACACAGAGACGCGAGTGAAACTCTTTGCGCTGATGCGAAATTTCGGACGTAAAACCTTCCTTCATTTCTCTCAAAACAAAATCTGCAAAACGCAAAATACTTTTTATGGGACAGAAAATGTAGAAGCCCCACCGTAGCAGCTCCACCGGGACATTTGCCGCTAGAGTCACGAAAGTCTGCAGCATCCGCGCCAAACACTTTGCCTCCTGTCGCAAGTGGTGGGCACGGCAAGAGCCTGCAGTATCAACAGCTTCTCCTCGAAAATTATCCTGTAAAGGCCAAAAACATGGCAATATCACTGTGGAGGAGTCGCTTTTTGCGGCCATTTTCACTAGGGGCAGGTCATCAACCACAAAGTCTGAATAGGAACTACGGTCCCTGTGTTTCTGTATAGTATCTAAAAGGAGAAAAAGCAGTGCGTCACAAAAGCTCAACACACCTTTGCAAGCCTCAAGCACACCATATCAGAGAGTTTCCGAATATAGCGCCGTGCGATCTCAGGTTGCGGATGAGAGCGCACAGCTTTTGCCGCGCTGCCTGCTGCAGCCACGGAAAGCCGTCGATAGAGGGCCACTTTCTGCGCTTCCATAGGTAGCCCAGACAACGGCAATTGGTGTTCAGCATCTCCCGCCATTTCACCTAAAGGCGATTCCATAAGAAGGCGAGCAACCTGACAGAAACACTGCGACAGCTGATTTGATGAAGGAAGTGGAGGAAAGTGGGAGCCGGCGTAGACGCCTGCAGAATTCCATGATTCAAACGACGCCTGTAAAGACAAACAAGTGCCAGCAGCTATTTCCTGTATGCTTCGCCCCATCCTAGATTCCAAGGATGATTTAACGGTGCAAAATTTCTGCATACGGCTGCTTTAGTTCCCTTTGTTAACGAACCACACGTAATGTATTCCTGTGGAAGCGGCAACTCAGCATTAAAGCGGCGACAGATGGAAGCTGTTCCCCGCCACAATAAATCTCGGGGTACGAGTAAACCCAAGACCACGAGACCAGTTCCCTTCCTGGTTATCATGGAACTTGAGTTCTCGTTTTGCACCCCTTGCAGCATCTACGGAGAAAGAACACTCATTGGCAGCAGGTTTAAAACGAAGGATGTGAAAAATAATTCTCACAGCGTCACCGGCTTCCTCTAGAGCCTCTCGTTCCTTCTGCAATCGTGCCAGCTCCACCAGAAGCGCAGGCAGCAACTCGGGGTCTGCTGCTGTAGAAACTCACACCACACACCAACAAAAAGCAACGGGTCAGCCCGCCACTCAAATCCTTGCTTCGATTCCCACACTTCAGGTATTCGTCGTATAGCGTATCGGTATCGGCAAAAAGCAGTTCGACGTCCTTCCAAATTTTGCCGTATGAAAAGGCAACTGACTTTTTAGGCGTCCTTCCATTAGCAGCTCAAGCCACAGGCCGACACCAGGGTCCGCGCTGTAGCGACAAACCGCCAGAACTAATGCATCAGCCGAAGCAGTTTTTGCATAACCCAAAATTGAGGCGTACAGATCAGCTGCCTCCTTCTGCAGAGCATCATTTTGCCCGGAAGAAGGGCTAAATGAAGACACAGGTGCCTGGGATGTACTGTCGGCCTCAGCTTTCCCCGAAGCACCTAAGAAACGGCCCTTGCAATAGGAATTTACAAAAGCTTCTGCAGAAACAAGCGGAAATAACACTGATCAGAACCTGGGAAGAGACGTTTGCCGTGCGTGCAGCTTCTGGGGCGTACAGAAATGCATGCAGCAAGTTTTAACATAAAAGGAATAGTTACCCGCAGAGGAGAAGTACTGCAGCAAAATGCGTTGAGCGACCAGCAGCTCAGCGCCTCTAAGATGACACCGTTTGCATCCTGAGCCGGAATTCACAAAACTGATGCAAGCAAGGACAGCAAGGGAATCCGAGCACCGTAACTTCTCCAGAGACCTGAATATCTGTAAGATTGACGCGTCGGGGAGGCTGCATACTTTCTCAGGAGAGGAAAGAAGGCCCCTAATGGCTACAGCTGCAGCGACATTGTCCCCGGTCCCCCCTCGCGAGGCCACTTGCACCAAAATATCTACGCACTCCCCAGGGGTTAAGTACGGGCCTTGCTGTTGCAGCACTTGCTGCAACGCGCGCGTCAAGAGATCATGCCTAAGGCCTACTGAATGCAGAGCCGAATCCACCGAAGCTAACTCGCTCAAAGAAAAACATATAGCAGCCCTAGCTATTGCTGGAAGTGCCGTTCTGTACAGATCAGCGTTGTCGGACGTGGAATCAGCTGTCCCCTTCTGATGCGTTGACAGAGACTTTCTGTGTTCGGCCGATTGCGCCCTCGCAAGCCGGTCGAATGACGTGAATGCCTCCAGAAGCAGCGGAAGGCTGCGAACTGGGACGCAACATATTTTGGATTTTAAAAATGACGAAAAGCTTCCCACTAAGTCAGCTCTGTAGAAACCCAAAGATGCAAACGCCTGTGCTGCTGAGAGTATCTCTGCGACAGTGCAAGTGGCCAACCGAGAAATCAGTTGATCTGCGCAGCGGTTAAGCATCTCCAAGTGCCGATACGAGACACGTGAACAAGCCCACAGTACTTGAACGAGGTCTGTGTTGCAAAATGTCTCAATCTTTGCCTTCGTGTGCTCACAGAGTCTGCTGAAAAGCAAGGGATGGGGATGCTGAACACCCCCATAAGCAGCCGCCGCAATGGCGATCCCTCGTGGGCCCAACTCCTCCATCTTCCGTATGCACTGCAGTGCTAGGAGGTCAAAAAACGGCCTGTTGTGGATGTTAAGTCTCGCAAAAGCCTGCAGAGCGACTGCCAGGTCTGACGCGCGGCAGTCATGCGCCTGCAGAGCGACGAGTTGGGAGAAACAATTGAACAGACAAACATCCCTGTAACCTGCTTTCCCGTATGCATTAAGAATGGCGACGAGTTCTCGTGCACGGAAAGCCCTAGAATGGTCTTTTAGAGCGGAACTGCACCGCATCCAGAAGTTTGGGTTGGTTAGACGCATGCGCCCAGCCATTGTTACGGTGTCTTTTAGCTCTCCTGCAGACTGGAAGTGTATCGGCACCCTGCAGAAATCGGCAGGGACCTTCCTGGGGTCGACTGTTGCTTCATAAGAGTCATATTCATCCAGCCTCTTACGTTTCGTTGCAAACCCTCGAGCACTGCGCAGGCACCTCCAGTGAAAGCTGCCGATAGCAACATTCCGTGATCGCCAAATCAACCGAGTATCAAGCAATTGCGGGGCAGCTTTCTGAGTAGAAGAGTGGCAAGCTGTTCGAGCTCCGCTGTCTGTTGGAGGCTGCTTCTCCTTTAGCGCCAAAAGCGCGGACAAAGAACGCCTGTAGAGTTCAAGACGGCTAATAATGTTTGGCCTCGAATCAGCTCCTGCAAATGAAAACGTATAAGGGGACCTGATTTTCACCGCACGGCACGAGCTTGCGGCTGGAGCTTGCATTGTCTAGGGAAATAAGGGCAGTAGTGGCTTGGTCACCAGAGTATACCCAGAAATCAGTATTCAGCTGAAAGTCACTAAATTTCCCTGTAAAATAAAGTGGGAAAACAGAGGCCGATCTGGTAATTTCTGCCTATCTTTATGGGGAGGGCTGGTCTCATTACTCCTACAGAAGCGCATGCAGCGAAAAATGCTCCTCCAGAAAATCACCACCGTGTGTCTCCCTTCTCCCCACAGTGCCTTCTCTTTGACGGAATTGTTTGTTGTGAGCTGTTTATAACAGCCAAAGAGGCTGGCTGTTCCATCGGAGAAGAATTCGTGTGTCCCTCTCGAGCCCCTTCGGCATTCAGCCCTCAAAATGGCTCACATCTTTCGCGCCGTTCGACCCCTCATAAATCCAAAGGGCTACAATAAAAAGCTAGTTTTTTGCCTGGCGACACGGACTAATGCTCCGCAGAGTACCGTGACCTCAGTGCCTCAGTCACGCACGGTTGTTTCAGATGCTACCGCCGAATCCTCATCTTCAAGCAGCAACTTGCCGCAGTTTGCTACATTTGAAGCTCTTCTAAAGGCCTGTGGAGGACCGGAAGACCCAGTGTATAAACGTCTGGTGGAGCGCAGCACAGCAGCGTATAATGAAGAGAGAGAGAGCGTGGATGCCCACTTATTACCTCTGCTGAAGCAGAACAGAGTCGTGTTGTTCATGGAAGGCACAGTAGATAGGCCTAAATCTCTCGCATCCATGAACGTTGTCAAAATGCTGACACAGCTCCAGAGTGTGCCTCTCATGGCAATCGACGTCACCACCCATCCGGCTATACTGGGATTCGCGCTAACTCATGGGTAAGGTTGTCGTTTCGCATTACATAAAGCCAGTTCAGCACTCGCACTTATGAACCGCCTGAACAGCCACGGACCAAAGAATAAACTGTGAAAGTTGTCGCCGTGGCCACAGCCGATGCTGGGTGGCGGGAAACAAATCTTGTTGTGGGAGGTGCCGTGGAGTCTCTTTAATTAATGCTAGCCTGTGGAAAAGCTGCAGACAGCTATGCATTGCAGTGCTGATGACGTTCGTGTTAAATTCAAACATAGGCTGTTTTCCACTCCTGTCTGTTCAGGAAGAAGACCCGATGCCCGTTCCTATTTCTTGATGGCGTTTGCCTTGGTTCTCACGACACATTGGTGCAGCTTTACCAAAGCGGAGTTCTGGCGAAGCAAATTGCAGGCCAACTGCCTCCGACGAGCCCATATTTCCCTGGAGAGCTACCCATTGCGTTGTACTGAAGTTTGTGAAGCTTGTGGTGGACCCTTTGGTGTGGCCAGCCGTACTGCCAACGCGAATTAGGCTCACACTTCAGAGCTTCAACTTAGCGAAGTGCGTGGCACTGCAAACTGGCCCACGTAACACTGTGTTTCGTTGCCTCTTCACACTTTGTGAGTGTTGGCTTCTGCAGAAGTCAGTGGCTTCAAGCTAGAAGCCCAGCCCGTGTTCTCGCAAAACAATACGCATAAAGAGGGCATGCAGGCGCAATGCCGTGTGCGTTTGCCGGAATTGGGGTGTTCTTGGGGGTATTCTCGGGTTCAGGTTGGTGCATAGCGTTTTCGGAAGTTACGAACTTCGCAGCTTCATCTTGCATTTTTTGGATTTAGGAGCATTGTAATGGCCAGAAAAAAGAGCGCAAATCAACGATTTGCTGATTTAGAGGCGAGACCAGATAGGTACGAGACTAGATGATAGCTGATCAGCACCATGATGCATGGAACTCGAGCTGATGAGTGGTTAGGGGTGTACATACACTCCATCAGCGCAGCCGGCCGTCATTTTTCTGTTTCTTGATGACCAAGCGTCCGCCGGTCTTACACAAGCGAAATTTCATTACATATGATTCGTGAATTCCAACAGTGACTGAGATCAATCGAAAAGCTCCCCATTTTCGAGACAAACAGAACCAGAAACGCATTACTTGAACGGCACAAGTGAAGTGCTGATCAGCAGTGCAGTGCAGAGAGGTGCACATCATATATGAATTTCACGGCTTTCTAGCTAAAGAAATATCAGGAAAAAGCTCAGAAGAGCCGGCTTGTGGCTTCAATTTAAATGCGACCATCATGGTTGGGGAATGGGGTCTGGTTTTCGTTGGCGCTTGCACCGTTGGTCGTCTTTCTGATGTTAGCTCCACAAGTCAAAGCCTATCCTCCACCTATCGAACTCGAGGGCGACGTGCAGGAAGCGGAGGCTCATGTCGTTTCCTCAACGAAAGGCAAGGAATCTTTCCACTGGCGTCGCTCCTGGCTTCATAAGTACAATTTTGCAGCTGTCTCATACTCAATACTGCTACCTCACGTTCCTACCACCGTGACAGCAGAGGATTTCTCAGCACGGTACGAGTTTAATTCGCATTCCTGGAGGCATTTGGCATTGGGCATTTGTCTAGTTTGCATGTTATGGCGCTGCAGAGTGATTGCGAACAAGGTCCTGAAGGTTAGTGAGTGAATAGGCCAAGCCGAGTACGCAGATTAGGGCAAAGTCCAACAGATAAGTGTTCAAAAGACTCCCTTAGACTGGCACTTTCGACTCGCTGAGGTGGGTACTCTGCAGATGATGCAGCTTACGTCTAAGATGTAGCGTCCTAGCTGCATGCAGGAAATTCCACAAGGTATCAAGCTCGTACTGCCGGTCGAAGTAGAGAGGCGCCCGGGCAAGCCTAATTCAATCCCTCGCCTGGGAACCATTTCTTATTGAACGCTTACAGGAGACTATACAGGGGCCGTTTGGCGAGCTACTGTTGTAGTACCAGCGAAAATTCAAAGATTGCAGACGAGCAATGTGCCTGCACGTAAGCTGCGGCATCCACTCAAGTACTGCAGAAGCGGCCACTCATGTTGTGCCTGCACCCACCAATAGAAGGCCCCACAGTCGCTGGGGGGGGCGCAGCGGGTGTTAGTGTGCGGGGACGCCTTCCCACTGAAACGACTAGGGGATTGCAAAGGCCTTCCAGCGGTTTGCCTATGCCTTACCCCTTGGGTAGGGGAGCAGCCACTGGCCCAAGTGGACCACCACCGCGACATCGCGAAAAGCCGTTACCCTCTGCTTCGGTTTCCGAAAGCCTGCCCTTACCATCTTTTGACAACTGAAACGCATGTGAACCGCCAACATGATAGCTATACTTCTTGTGTCTTGCGAATAGAGCTCTTTACACATTCAAAAGCATTTTACTTGTTTCTTGCGAATGGAGCTTTTCACCCATACCAAAGCATTTTAGAATGCTAGCTCCGCACAGCTACCTCAACTGTACGAAGAGAATGTCAGGAACAGGGGGGAAAGCATGTGGGTAGCTTCTGTCAACCCACGAAAAGCCTGTCCAACAGCCTTTGTCAGTGCGGCATCCAAACTGCATATGCAACGCGCAAATTTATGTGGAAAGGTACGCAAATATCTGAGTTGCAATACCCTTCACACACGTAAACAAAGCTTACTACGTCGCAAGCGTAATAAGCTGCAAGAATTTTTCACAAAGAAAAATTGATACTGGCAAGATCAGATGCTCGCTGGTTAAATGCTTAAGCATCTTTGAACGCGTGCTTGAGATGGTTGACAGTCCTTTAAGCCTAAAAGAAGGAATTGTCTGTCATCTCATTCAGCGATTGGCAGAGTATTTCTGCACCAACATTAAAAAATTGTGATGCTGCGCTGTCTAGAGGCACAGCGTAGCAGGGACTCGCTCTCCAGAAGGGGTCTTTACGAAAAATCCCCACTGCACGTCATCCGGCCTCATGCAATTCCTCCCATTTGGTGAAGCAAGACGCCCCTCCCAGCGCATAGAAGCAGCACTTCTAGTTACGCGATAACCAACGATCTTGTCCTATGTTGGAGCAATGGAAAGGTCTCCACTGCCCGAGGCACGAAGCCGCGTCTTCGAAGGCGTTACGGATGGGCCATTTATTGCATGCTTGGGAGGTCGAGAAAGAGCAGCTGGTGGAACGGGACCTGAGACACCAATAGCTTCCCACATGCTTTCCCGACGCATACCAAGCGACAGCAACAGCGAATGGATGTCCTGGAGAGTTATGCTGTTGACAATACGCTCAAAATCTGCAAAGTATGAACCGGTCTTTCGAGGAACCTGCATGCACAGAAATAACGAAATCGCCCTACATGTAACATATTGTGCCGCGTAGCGTTACCATGTTGAAGGTGCACGAGAGCACGGTCCTTAGCAGAAACTTTCTGGGCCGCCGCTTTCGAACTTCTCAGGCATTCATCTGTGTGCTTGCTCACATCACTTAGCTGTAGGCCGCCAAGAAGATCGAGCCAGTACCGCGCGTATTTGCGATCGTGCTCATGCCTCATAAGTACTTGCTGCTTAGCCCCTTCGAGCTGTGACTGCAGTAGGGGACGAACGGTTTTTAGCTGCTGCAGCGCTACATGCGTTGCTTCAAGGACCCGTTCCGCTTCTTCTGGTTGAGTGTGGACTGTAATAATGAAAATACCCCCACGAAGAATGTCAAATGACATCACGTCGAACGCCGCTTCATATGTTAATCTCTGTTCCTCTCGCAGGATCGAGAAAAGACGCTTGGTTACTAGCTCTTGCAAGATCCAGAGAGCCACACGAGGGAAGGCTGGATGCTTCCTGTGCTCACTGGCGGCTAAGTCTACCCTTTGCTGGTGAACTTCCGGTGTTGTTTCCTCCATGCTGCTCGGTGTGGAGTCGTTCTTGCGTTCTACGGCATCCATATGCTCCCATATCCACGAGCCATCAGGGTTCCGGCCCCATCGATTACACGCGAAGCCTCCAATATGCACCACAGCACGCGTCTCGCTATCCCGCACAAAGACGTGCAGCCGCCTACCCCAGGCCTTCGCCCAATTACCAGATGAAAGGCTGTCACCTGTGTTTGGCGGCAGACTGGATTTCTGCACCCCGCCATGTGCTGCCGCTACTTGAAGATTATAGTAAGGGGAGTACAACGAGATTTGGCTGGGCTCCGTAGGACGCCCTGCCCACTGTAGTTCCGCTTCATTTATCTGCTTTGGTACAATTGTGCCCAAATACTTCCCTGCCAATTTCGCAACGTGAGCCGAGTCCACATCACCGGCGACCGTCACTTCAACCTCGCCGCGAGCTAGCTGTCTTTCAATGAGAAAGCGTATTTCCTTCTCCACGAAATGCAAGTCAAGGCTTGAAGTTACGCCAGAATTAAATGCATCAAAGCGAGGATCACGTCCAGTCATGCTGAATATCAGCTCTCCCAGAGAATAACCCTGAAAAAAGTTCACAAAGGACTTAGCTCCCGTTGCCACAAATTACAGCTTTGCGCGGCAGGCTGAAGTAACAGGTTACAGACTGTGACCTAATCATGTAAAGCAAAGAACTACAGGCAGTTGCGCACCACCAGATCTCGAGTGTAGGCGTGGTAATCCATGAGGACGCGATGCTTCGCGCGCCGAAAGGCTGAATCTTCGAAGCGAAATGCAGTGAAAATCAGGTGCAGAAGCTGCATGGCGCTTTCAAGGGTAGAGATCTTGCCAGACTTGTCAGCTTTTCCTACGCCGGCATCTCTAGACGCAAAGGCCGGTGTGCTGATATCAATGGCAAGGAACTCGTCCAAGCACTCTATGCTGACTCCTGCGGCATCCAGTTCAAATAAATAAAGGCACAAATCGCCAGCCAGGAAAAGCTAGTGCACACTGAATCTGGTCAATAGCCTCAGAAAAGACCGACCGGCACGACCAAAGACAATTGCGACAGGTCCAAATTTGTGTGTGCAAAAAGCAACGCGGTCAATCACATGCTGAGTATTAGCTTCTTTGCTCGTTCGGAGTCGCCAGCAACGCAGAAGCCTGAATCCTACTCTAACAATAAGAACGTGGTACTTTACAAGAGGGACCCCCTGCACAAACGGTATTCGAAGTGAATATGTCGCAACTTCCTGCACAGCAGCATTCAGTGTGAACGTTGCCTTGGAACGGACCTATAAGCCTTTCCTGACAGAACGTTTCAATCTGCTGACGCGTATACGGACCCAAAGCCCCTCCCTCCATCATTGTAGCGGCACCGACGACCATTGCTGCGCTGTGTTTCCTCAAAGATTCAGGACTTCCGCTGTCTGCGACGCTCTTCGAGAAGTTTAGCGCAGAAGCCAGCCTGCCTCCTGTGAGCGAATAAAACCAAGCTTTCACCAGCACTCTACTGGAAGCGAAAACAAAAATAATTATCGACCAACATTTGTTGGCAAATATGTAAATGTAACCCATCCATAGTACCAGGTCACAACACGTACCAGGAATCAGCACGCGGATCAGCGCGGACCCGCGTTCTTCAGCCAGCGGCTTTACAGTAAGCTTAATGCCATTTGCATACTTCAGGACCCGCGCGTCTGGCCCAGCCTCGTCCAGCTTCCGTGACATTGGAATTTCTCTTCCCGCCCTTTGCTCCAGCTCCATCGATTGCTCGTTCGTCAACAAGTATTTCGGCGCCTGTATATCAGGGCAGAAATGAAAGAGCCTATAGCCCTTCTTCAAAATCAAAATCCAGTAAGTGGGGCGGAGTTTCGTTGTAAACGCTGCTTCTAAACGTTGCTTCTCCCAGAGCCTACGAAATTGAAAAGCCTTTGTACGCAGAGCTTACCTGAACCCCCTCCCTGTGGAAATTGATCGGACAGGTCATGGCGTCGCATATTTCCCTAAGAATTGATTCCTCAGGAATTGCAAGTTTCCCCTTGCAAGCACTGCTGGCAGTCGTCTCATCAACTGCATGGGGCGAGGCAGGGGCTTCCGGCGCGATTTCTGCTACTCCTAGCTGCTCCGACTCGATATGGCCTTGCAGCTGTGTGGAAGGCACGCGCCTCCTTGGGGGGTTACAGTCGCTACGTTGGCTTCCCGCTTGTGCAAGGAAAGTGCAGATGGCGTCAGGTCCTGCGTGTTTTCCATCCCTATCAATAGGTTCACTCATCCATTTCAACATGTTTCGTGTTTCTGCATTTACAAGATCAAGCAGTTTGCTCATTCCCCTCGGGTCTGGATTGTCCGTCCCTGCACTCTTCCCGCCAGGGCCTGATTGAGGTGATTCCCACACGCCGCCTCTGGCGAGGAACAGTGCAAGCTCACGCTCGTCCTCAAGATGAACTACAGAGTGCCCACAGGCAGCGCAGTCCATGAGCAGCCGTAGCATGTCAGCAGACGAGAGCGACTGCATATGCATTCTGTCGAGATTTACCCTATATGAGTCCAACAGACTCGCCAATTCCGCCATACTCAGTCCATGCTCCGCCATCTGGCGTACCTGAACGGCCCACGATTTCAGCAAGTCTAACACTGAACATAACCCTAGCTCCTGGATCCTGGAAGTATTCACCTTTATCGCCCATGAGAAGATAGAAAAGCATAACTATCACTGAAGTTGAAATTTCACAGTAAGAGCATACCAACCGAGAAAGCCCCAGTCAAAAGAGAATGAATGCTTCGATCAACTGTCTAGGGGTCAACCGTGCGGTCTGCGCTCCTCAATAAAGCGAGAAGAATCGCGTACCTCTTCGATGGCAACGCGCACAGCATCACGCCAGCGGCCTTGATCAGCCTCGGCTTCAACACTAACAATGCGGCACCCCTCTTTAACTGACTCAGTGTCTGCAACTTCAACACGCATCCATGTGTCGTCCGCTCTCCGACATCGCTCCGTCAGTCTTACGGCGAGGGCCTGCAGGGCAAGCTTCCGGGAGAGAAGGCGGAAGAAATCTTCCGCAGTACGCAGCGGCGCTATCGGGAGCTTCCGGAGGAAGAGCAGCGAGAAGTGCTGCAGCAAAGGATGCTGCCATACATGCAAGCGGGACCTTAGAGAGCGTCTAAGGGATGCCGATGTTTTCTCTTGAGCCTTCAAATCTACATTTGGCACCTCTATTTTGGTATCAGTTACTTCCGAACAAGCCCCAGAACTAGCAGTTCTGTCACCCCTGATCCAAGAATGGGTCAAAGGAGGGAAGAAGACCGAACTGCAAAAGTATCGCCGCACACCGCAACAAACGCCAATGGCGATGTAAAAATACAATATGATATTTTCCAGTGATGTTAAAAACTAAAAGCACTGTTTTGCGTTTTCTCAACAATATTTCGTATGTGGAAAGGGGCAGGATGCTTAACATGGCACGCACGCCTCCAAACTTTTCAGGATGCTCACTCTCTCTTTGCCGTTGTTTGTTGCCACTGGTCGCGGATTGCACACCATTCTTCAACCCCAGCCTTGTCTCCTCGAAGGGCTCCAAGGAGGTCATCTACATACTGGAAGGCCACTCGCGGTGCAACATCGCCCACAATAAAAAGTGTGGCGTTCTCTGGGCGGTAAAAGCGTGCGAAGAACTTCCGCACCTGGTCAACAGTCCAGCTGCGGAGAAGCTGCATGTCCCCGATAGGAAAACGGGAGGGAAGAATAGTATCACTGTGAAGTTTGGACAGTTGAGCCTGTTCCTTCCTGTACAAAATTGTGTTCACTAGGGACGACTCTGAAAGGACTGCAGCCTTCTCCTTAAGAAGCCGTTCTACTGTGAACTGCGTGGGGGCCTGAGGGCAGAATGAAAAACCCACACAACGGAGGAATTTAAAGGCAGAGTCTGGAGCACCAAAAGGTAGAAGGGATGAAAAACAGTCTAACTTTTAGGACTACCCCTGAGGCGCATCAAGTGTACACCGCAACAGTAGAATCCTAAAGTACCGTGAGGACTTCTCGCATCATTTCCAGTGCGGCTCTCAGCCGGCGCAGACTCCAGGCGTGGCTACCCTCAGCCCTTTCCCAGTCTATGCCGTGTGGCTTCTGAATTTGCGCACTGCTTCCCCCTCTCCAGCTGGCGAAATAGACCGTGTGATGGAAGTCTGTGAAGGCGTTAGCCTCGCCCTGTAGAGACAGGACTTCTCCCCTTTTTCGGTTGCCCATAAAAACGAGGTGCTCGCAAAGGTGAGCCATTCCCTGCTCAGTTTCATCTTCTGCTGTGCTGCCAGCATGCATTTCTAAGTGAATCTCTAAGCTGCCTTCTGGGTGAGCATGGGGCAGCATATATACTTCCAATCCGGAATCCAAAATCCGCCGCTGCAAGTATGGGTGAAGAGGTAAGGGCGTAGACGAAAACAAAGGCGTCGCCCCGCTTCCTTTTGTGATACTCGGGGAAGCTGTTTGGGAATTTTCCTGACTTGTGGAATCTCCATCAAAATACCTATTTGCCGCGCATAAGCGATGACACTTTGGGTTACGACTTGTTAAAAACTGTGCATGCTTCTGTTCTTTCCATGTACTGCAGCCACCACCCGGTGGCGGTAGTTGTATAGCCGGCCGGGCCCTCGGCGCCGTGGCAGACGTCAACAGCCGGAACATCTGCGCGCAAATAATCGCAAAACTATAAAAGTGCCTCACGCAGCACTGTTCTTCATCTATGCTGGTTCTAAGTTGTGTACGATGTTCCGCTAGGGATGCTTGGTCTGCTAAGTGATACTATGCCGCCTGCTTCCGCGCCGCATATATTTTATGGGAAAAGTTAGCACCACGCGATGGAATCGCGCCGCACAACAAAGTCAAAAAGCAGCTAACAGACGCCTTATGGAACATGAAATATTTCTTTTAAAACACGCGAGTTTGCTTGGGCTGCCACAAAGCTCAGCTCGGCAAATGGCCGCCAGAGCACGTGAGCAGTCCCTCGGAATAATTTTGCAGGCCGTCAAATTCCTTTTGTTTTTAGCCGCCCTATGCCCAATGCCATTTGCGCTCTAAATAACGGAGCGCTAGATATGGTAGCGAGACCGCCCGCTCGGCCTTCCCCTATTATTGCTGATACTCCTGTTGACCAATCTTCTTCTTGGCCCTTTCTGAAGCCTGAGCAGCAGCGCACTGCACTGCCATATCGCCCAGGACATGTCGCTTCTCCAAGCAGATGAGTTCCTTTCAACCTGGCAGCGGAAGCACCTCGGGAGCCGAAGAGAGTGGCAGCTCCCCTTTTAGTCTGCGGCAGGTCGCTAACTCCATGTTGATTCCCACTTCTTGACGACTCCCGGACGTGGCACCACTCTACCAACCAGGATTCTGTGAATACTTAATAGCAAGGCTCGGTGAAACTGCGACTGCTCCTGCAGTCATCTTCCAGCCATCTGGCGACATCTTTGGCGTAGTAAGTGGCTATTGCGTCTGCGCCGGCCCTCCGGAATCCCTTTAGTGTCTCCAGGACGACGGCCTTCTCGTCTATCCACCCTTTCTCCGCTGCCGCTTTGATCATTGCGTACTCTCCAGACACCTGGTAAACAGCGAGAGGCACGTTTGTCTTCTGGCGGACACGTCGAAGGACGTCCAGGTACGACGACCCCGGCTTCACCATCAACATATCAGCCCCTTCCTGCACATCTGCACCTCAGGAACACCCGCAACCCCAAAAACCGAGAAACTTCGTTCACACTGCGATAAAACTTTAAAACCCAGCAGCAAATTTTACCCTTTGTTTTTCTACTGGCCAAATAAAAGCAGTCGTCCCAACAAAAAGCGCAGCGAAGACACGTACCAAGTTCGGCCTCGCGCTCTGCTTCCAAAGCGTTGGATACGTCCATCTGGTAGGTCTTCTTGTCTCCAGTTCCTTTTAGCGGAGAGCCAACAGCATCCCTAAATGGCCCATAGAGAGACGACGCGTACTTGCATGCGTACGACAACACTGAGGTATCAACACAGCCCTCCATATCCAGCGCTTCACGGATTGCCGTCACCCGACCATCCATCATTTCGCTAGGGCAGACCATGTCCGCTCCAGCTCTAGCCAAGTTGACGGACTGGAGCAAGGAAAAAGCGCACACCGAAAGCGGAAACCATGAAAGCACCCAGCAGTGTGGACCAGAGGATTTATGTGCACAAACTTATGCGCAAGTAGCTCTCACTCTGCAAGTGGGAGAGCAACACTTCTTTAATTTCATCACAAAATCCGCTCAAGAAAGTGCGGGCTAACACTCATGCCAGAACTGACCTGCTTGCATATTTGATACACTGTCATGTCATTCAGCACAACTCCTGTCTCCTCATCGACGATCCCATCATGGCCCGAAGTACTGTAGGGGTCTAGTGCAACGTCAGCCAGAACCAGAACATCGGGAAAGGCTTCTTTGATAGACATGATGGTGCGGGGCATCAGCCCATCCGGGTTGTTGCTTTCTTCTCCTGAGAAAAATTATGCAAAAGTCAAATACCCACTAATCAGATGCAGCAATCCCCTGAACTCATTGCCCAACCCCAGCCGCAAATCCCCACTGTATTTTGCGCCACCGCAAAAATAGCATGATCAATCAATTCTTCTGTAGCAACGCATCTGCCTTCTCTGCGTAAAATCCTGCATACCCAAGGGGCTTTTGAGATCATCATCCACCTTGGGAAAGAGCATGAATGCGTTTATGCCATAGCGCCGGGCTTCTTCAACCTCTTTTAGCACATCTTCGGGGCTTAGCCGGCGGTGGCCTGGCAGCGACGGAATCGGAACGCTGCGTTCCTGATGCAAACCACATCAAGTGAGCGGTAATTCGGATATGTCTAGAAGGCATTTCACAACGGGCAGAGCCTTCACTCTCAGTGCTTAGCGTTTCCCGTGAAGGCTTACTTCGTCGTGCACGAATAGGGGATAGATCAGACTAGAAGGCTTCACAACGTTCTCTTGAACAAGCCGACGTGTCGCGCGATCTCTGCGGTTGCGACGAGGGCGAGCTTGTATGGGCAGCCAGACTTCCCCATAATTGTTATTCTCCAAGGGTCCTCTAGGTGCAATCGGATCATACTCTTCGTCGGCATCTGCCGCATCATCCTCTTCATCATCATCTTCTAAGCCGGCATCGAGTTCCTCGTCCCCCTCGTCTTCATCGTCATCTTCATCTTCGTCCTCGTCAAATCCTTCCAAGATTTCACGTCCAACTCCAAGCGCTCTCTGTTTTGCATCAGCGGGTCTCTTTCCCTTACGATCGCTTCTTGGCACGCTCCCTCTAAGGCCTGTTCGCCCGCCGCCAGCCTCACTAAAGGCCTTTTCCATGGATGCCAGTGCACGCGATATGCGCTCTGACACACGGCCCCTAGGTGCAGTCGCTGTCTGTCTCCCCATAAGCCGCTGCACAGAACCAGCGCATGATAGCAATGAGATGACAGCTGCTCATGTCAGCGCCTGTCAAGGACAAAGCAGAATCCGCATTCGCAAGGATTATCACAAAACTAACACCAAAAACGCGCCTTCAAGTTAGGCATGAAGAACGTCATTCGCCACAAGAGATGGAAAAAGAACCGGGCTGCACCAAAAATGCAGCAACGGCCAACCAAAACGTAGTGCATCACTCCTTCTTGTTGGGGCATATCTGCTGGATGTGTGAAGCGTACAGCTCCCCTGCTTTAGCATCACTGCGCTGTCCAGCTGACTTCTTTGAATTCAGGATCCGACAGGGGCTTCCAGTGAAGAGACCCCGCGCCGGCGCGAGATGATGCACCGGTTCGTTTGTGTGATGCTGATGACTAAAGGGCAGCTGCCATGTGTTGCATCTGCTGCATCATATCCCGCTGCAATATCGCAGTTTGTACTCTGCTCAAATGGAGCAGAGAGTGGAGCGGCTCCTTCGACACTTATCCCCCATGAGAGTAAGGGCCGAATATACTCGACGGTCCATGCAGACTCGTAGGTTCCCACGAGGCAGACATACCTCTGGAGCATTTTCTGTCATGTCTTTCCGCCTCCGAATTCATCCGTATGCGGAACTTTACTAGCACTGGTTGTCACCCGCTGTGCACGCGGGGCGGGAACACTATCGGAGGGGAGGCAGATGAAAGGAGGATTTTATATATTATTTCCGGCCGATCGCTCGAGGCAAACAGCATGAGCCGTTATGACCCTCGTAGTTCCACATAGCGCGGATCAACATCCTTATCGAACGGGAATACCGCGGAAGAAGATATGACCATTATATGGGATCATGCAAGTCCACAATAAATGCACATCACGCCGCGCAGCCAGCTCCAACCTCGTTTACTTGTACCAGTCACATTGTATCCTAAGCACGTCACTTCACTTCTCACAATTCTACTGCACGTATAGACTCCTTACTTGTGCGCCTGGAGCGACACGAGCTACAAGAGACCGGGAGGTAACTGAACTGGGCGCATGTCCTTCAGGCGGCCTATCCCTCATCTGTTACGCAGCACTGCGACAGCGGCAGAACGTTAGCGTTCAACTCTTTACATTATTTTAGCGTGGCAAACGCTATCACAAAACAGCAACTCAAGCCCTATAAAACCAGAGAAATAGCAGGCCTTGCACGTATTAGGCGTACCTGTGTCTGTTGGGTTGGAAAGACTTTGACCCCTCCTACGAAGGCCAAAGGGGTGAGCGTGAGATTACGTGTATGGCTTTGACTTGATGCGCTGCATAGGGGACCAGGAGAAAGCGAGGCCGCTTGGGCAGCCGGCTGCTTCCTCATCATTGCAGACGACTCCCCAATGAAGCTGAACAAAACCGCCACAGCGGCGGCTCGGAGGCCAGGAACCATCTTTACAACTTCCTTGTGTTCTGGCCACTCTGCTGATGTCTTGCGCAGAGCCTGTTTACTTATATTTTCCTTTCCTCTCAAGTGTACGGCTGAATTGTTCCCAGGTTCTATATGTCCAGAAGCTGGAGCACGAGACCCGCGTCAGGCTAGAACGACCGCACACAAGCCAGGCGACAGCACCCAATGAGCAGGGCAAACAGCTACCGCAGTACCACAGGGACTATACTTCTGTGAGACATACACTGGTGGCAATGGCTCAACTAGTTTAACACTTCAGGCAAGTGTGCTTGACCCATAGATTCACTTTGAACGGCCACGGGATAAAGCCGCCCAATAAAGAAAAAGAAACAAAGTGTCGCTTGCTGACTTTTAACATCCGGATCCATGTAGGTTTGTAGAGGAGACGAGAGAGCTTGCTACTCTCCTTACTGTGTCTCCCTCCCCTGTCTACCCCACAGTCACTTGACGTAACCTCACGCAAGTGAGGGTACGGGTTGGCTGACAAGAATACCAATATCTTGTGTCTGTGGCGTTACAAATGTAACCGTGGGAGATATAAGGGTCAATCCCATTGCAGGACGGCAAGGCATGCAGAGGCTCATGGAGCCTGCGGGGCCGTCGCAGCATGCGTGCTGTCCTTAAAACAATACCCGCATGTCTTCAATCTGTCAGCGTTGGAATCCGAAGAAACTGTGCAATCAAAGTACAAGGAAGCTCAGGAAGTAGCTCAACGCTGAGCAAAGAGCCCACCCTGCACCGAACACAGCTCGTCTCGATGACGCCAGAGCAGTTCCGCTTGTCTTCAAAGATACGAATGAAATACACGCCGTTTGTGCCATCTACTTACAATAATGGCTTAGCCAAGTATCAAGTGGGTATATGATGCACATTTGCATAATGCTATCCAGTTTCACCACTCCGCTGCTCGGTAAGTGTGTTCGTCGGCATGGCTGTTGCTCGTTGTTGCATATTGAGGCAATCTTCAACGGTCCACGGCTTGGACAGGGTCTTAAAGCGACAGCTGCAGTGTCTTTAAGCTATTTTTTATAGCCTCCGAGTTTTTCTGTCATACTGTCTAGTCTGGCTCCCAAATGACGGGCGTGCGAGGCCGTTTGTCAGGCTACCAATGCTTGCCAGCAGCTGCTGGGAAATTCTCAAAAGTGAAGGTGTTTCCGCTCAAGACGTGAGAAGTCTCAACGTCAAAAAAGAAACAGTTTACCCGGAGAACTGGTTGGGGGTCTTTTAACTAAGGTTTTTCTTTCTATCTAAGGCGTGCAACGGCAAGGCAACTTTGTGCAGTGCGGGATTTGGGTCCCCGCTGAAAGATCCGCACGTGTGGCTCATTCATAAGGCTCATCCGTGTCGCTTCAGACATTACAAATGCTTGTTTAGTTTCTGCTGAGCAGCAGAACAGCTGACCAAAAGGGCTGCCATGCCCGCCGTGAGCTCTGAGGTAGGCGTTTTGATGTCCAAACAACTGGAAAACCGGGAGCGAGTGTATTTCCAACTCTCAGAATACATTATTGGAGCCAGATATATGCGAATGATGCATACTTGTAGCTACTGAGGTGCAGCAGGTGTAGTGAATTTCTAGAGGTGTCCAGCCCTATTGTCCCTTCCGAATATCTACCCGTCTCGTGAACAGTTTCATTGTTAAAGTGCCATGATGGACAAGTATACATCGAACTTGTTTTCGGTGTAGGGAAGTTCTGAACTCATAGATTGTTTATTCTTACTTTGCTCTTAGCCACTGCAATGCCAGTGCTGTTATGGTTAGGGGGAGCTCGTTCAACGAATATGTATTCGTAGTCAATTAGCTAGGTTCAAAATTCCGGAGCACAACTATAAACCCTTCCGGGGGCACGACAGGCCGAAGAGGGAACTCGGCTGTTTTTTGAGTGGCCGAATACTTGTTTCTTATTTGCCTTTGTGAGATGTAGATCTCTTACACAGCACATGCCTCTCCGCAATGTGCTTAATATGGCACGACAGTTCCAGGAGGAGCTTCGTTGCTCCCTTTCAAACAACAAAACCAGCGTTTGTCATGGGTGTTTTTTCATGAGCAGTAGTGTCCTTTCTGAGCAAGCACAGTACTGAAGGTGGTGTAGGAGTACATACGTGCGTCTGCCTGTTTGTTCTGTGTCGATAAACGGTATATATGTAGTTGGATTAGCTAACGAAGGGGGATTCAAGAAATGAAGTAGACGTCGAACCAAACGCCAACAAGGCATACAACTTGTTTGCGTTGGGCGACAACAATGCCCTGCAAGCTACCTTTTCCCAGGAAGCCCTGGGCAGCACTTGCCAGATAGTGGAATGAAGCCACAATTTGAAACGTATTGTGGACTGAGGTCTGTCTCACCTGTGTTCTACTTTTACATACCGTCCTGCGTAGTGTCTTACAGGTACATCATTGGCGGTCTAGACAGGAATCAGTTCCACTAGATGTGCCCCTGCCACACTTGACTGTTGCCTGAGTGAATGCTGGCCTTGCTGAAGGGGCAACCAGCTCCTAGTTTTAAACTACTGTTGCCAAAGCCTATGCTAAAGCCTACGTGGTTGAAGAAGCTGTGGCAGTGACCTGGCTGGGCTTATTTACTTTTGCACACCATTCCGCCTCCCTCGCCGCTACTGTCTTTCGTTTTGTTCAATATTGTGGGCATTTCATCAGGTGCTTCAAGAGACGAAGGGCAAGCTTCCGAGCTCATCATCATGCTATGCATCATCATTTCTCCGTCATCAGGGTCATCCCCTGAAAAAACAAGGGACGAATTTGGTGGGGTAATTTTTAAGGATAAATTATTCTCACGTGCAAGAGGCGACAGTACGGGGCTGTTTCCCCGCTGTAGAAGAAGCTTCAAGGTTCCCCAATGGTTGTATTTATGCAGCTCTTCAGTATCGAAACTGTCTTCAAATCCAGTGTTCCCAGGCTCATTGAACGATGGTAGAAGCTTTAATGTGAATCTATGGCTTTGTTCTCCTCTTCCCAAGGCGCAATGAGTTCCTTTTTGAGTCATCTGACTGGACTGCAGAAAACACGCGTCATCAACAGTCTCTACAAGATGCGTAAAGGGGCCCTGTATATAGGAAGTGTGCTGATTCGTTTTCAAACTATCTATGCCTGTTCCTTTGGAAGCGTTTTGACCGCATGGCTCAAGCTAGGGTGAGCACAACTTTGGGCCCTCGGAGCATGGATATTTTGTGTCAAACAGGGGAAAAATTCTTCTAGCGCATCGGTAGCCCCATTAAAAGGCAACTTGTAGGAGCTGAACAAGTGTCGCTGTACAATGCATCTGACGTACCATTTGTTTCAGTGCGAAAGAACGTTCTTTTTGTCCGCTTTTCTTGACGCTGTCCAGGGCACTGCAGAGCTCTGAGTGCATCTGATGCGAGACAGCTCCGTTTGGAGAAATTTGAGGAGTCTTCTGCCCATAGAAAGATTCCTTGTAACACGATATACCGGTGTTCAGCTGCCTGAGAGGTGGAATTTGAGGAAATTTCCCCACCCTTTCCACTCTTCTAGTCCACACTGTGGGCAGACACAAGCAAAACGACGCCAGTATACCTGCAC